GTAGTCAACTATACCGTAAACTGCAGCTAATATAGTACTCAACTCTATTGAATTATAGTAGTCGACTATACTTGTAGTTCATTAGATCTTAGTGATAAGTGTTAATGCATGTCAAGTTTATGGACTATATTCACCATTTATTTTAGTCAACTAAAGTATATTGTTTACTTGAAACAAATACAGGGGTGTGTAAACTCCAAACTACTAGACCATACAATAGTTAACTATTTTCGGACAATGGTTAATTATTAGTAGAACGATGTTTACTATATGGAGGACAATAGTTACCATGCATTCTTTATCAAGCTTTTTAATCGATATACAACTCAATGCGACGAGCTGGAGACCATGTAGGAACCCTTAAATTGCCATTGTGGGTTGACACATATCGGCTTCTTTCCTGGTCTTTATGCTCTTCATGGTTAAGGCGAAACAATCTCCTCTCCATGAGTGTTGTAGAAAAACATCCACGTCTCTAATCATATCAACGTGGGGGGGGGGTCAATTATCTTAACGCCAAAACTATAGTTAACTATTGTACCTTAACAATGTGTTGTGAAAAACATAGTTAACTATCATACTATCATTGGTAACTATTACCATAGCTATAGTTAACTATCATAATGATGTCGTTAAAATTGAACATAGTTAACTACAAGAGAGCAATGTATGTTTTTACGAGTGGAGCAGAGAAAAAGAGAACTTGTCCAAATAATTTTCTCGGAAAACGGCCACGAGAATTGAGAGTTGAGTGGTAATCATCTGGGTTCTTCGCACATGACACTCTCGTCAGGAAGATAGCTGAGCCGTGAGAAGCGGCGGAAATTTACCCTTGCGACGGAGAATTGTCTTTGTTTATCCATGATGGAGACGGTCGAATTGACGAGAACGATCGAACAGTTCATGTAGCCAAAGCAAACTTAAGAAGAGAAAACCGAAATAGAAGACAAAGAAATATGGGGAAAAGAGGAAGAAAGGCAAAATCAATAAATGATTAGGGGATTAGAGAAATTTGAGAAGAAAAATGTTGAAAACAATGAAAGGGAGGTTATCAAACTGAAGAGGTTAGGTTGTCGGCGGTGGAAGAATTTAGAATAGGGTAAATAGTTTTAGGG